CAATGTTGCTGCTTTTGCCTGAATTTTTAGAAAACCCACCAAAACTAGCAAGTATTACAGTTTTTAAAAGCTTCAAGTTTACATTAAAAGGATGCCTGACATGAAATAGTGGTTTGGGATTTGGGAAGAAGCTGGGCAAAGATTTTGTGTAAACTTTCCTCCCAGTTGTGCCAGTACACAAGTTCCAGTGACTCATTCTAAGCCTCTCCTTGCACATCATTAATTAATGAAGAGATTCCTGCATATCTCTTTGTGCTGCAGATTAAAGATTCCCGGTTCGACACTGCATCCAGGGTGCTCTAGTGCTGGGAAATCCTTTTTCTTGGTGATTTTGTGAGGTTTTTAACAACATTGCATTGCTTTCAGGAGTTACATGTGTTTTAAAGCAACATTTGCCATCTGTGCCTCCTGAGCCCTTTTCATCTTAATGGTTTATATTACAGGAACATTTTATTACTTACTAATAGTTATTAGTGCTGGCAATACAAACTGTTTAGAGCAGCGCTGGATGTCACCTCCTGTATCAGAGATTCATGACAATGTAGAGAGCTGGGAAAAAACTCAAGGAATGTTTACGATCCTCTGGATTTTTGCAGGAAAAATGCTGCCAATACTGGCCATCGGAGGGCTCTGTGACTCACGGAGACATCACCGTGGAAATCAAGAGTGACAGCCTGTTAGATGCCATCAGTGTGAGGGATTTCCTAGTCACATACAGTCAGGTAATCCTTTAAAATTTCTAGGAGGTTGTTTTTCTCTTTCAAGGTATTTACAAATATAATTTTGTGTCCTAAATTTGGAGATTTTTATCTAAACCTAAATGTGGTTGATCTGACATTCAGAGGAAGCTTAAATGAAACATTTTTGCTTAAAGCAAAATTGAAAATTCTGGTCAGTAAAGGAGGTGGTTGATCAAAATGGCATGTGAGTTTAGGGAGGGCTTTTAATTGTTTTGTTGTGGCTGTTATTCCTAGATTTTCTACTGTCTCCCACATATATGTAAAAGAAAATTTGATTCAAGATTATTCATGGAATCACAGATTGGTTTGGGTTGGAAGGGATCTCAAAACTCATCCCATGGGCAGGGATGAGTTTTAACTCTCCAAGGTTGCTCCAAGCCCCATCCAACCTGGCCTTGGACACTTCCAGGGATGGGGCAGCCACAGCTTCTCTGGGCAACCTGTGTGTGCTTTTACTTTGCTTTTAATCACAGGCCAACGGCTGTGAAATTTCAAAGTGTTGTGCAAAGCTGAGTCCATGATTTGGGTTGTTTCAGCAGCCCTTTGGATCTGGCCTGTGCAGAAGGAAAGTTTTCAACTGTTCCTGCTCAGGATGAACAATCTCCCAGTTGAAGCAGATGAAACAGCTCTGCAAAGGAAAGGAAAATTTTAGAGGGGATTTATGAGCAGAGTGGTTGGGAGATTTAAAAACAGGCCTGTCAGGTCTGCACAAACTGTTTAGAGCCATGGAACATTAGAGCTGGAAACAAGATCATCAAGGTCCATGATATATCATGGATCAGGTTGCAAATATTGTAGCAGTGCAGAATTTCTGCTGTAGATGTTCAAGGCGTGTGTTTATTACAAGATAAAAAGTGACTAAATGTGGCGTTTTCCTGCCCACAGGGTAACCAGGAGAAGCAGAGCAGGCTCGTCCGGCAGTTCCACTTCCATGGGTGGCCAGAAATCGGGATTCCTGCAGAAGGGAAGGGGATGATCGACCTCATTGCAGCCGTGCAGAAGCAGCAGCAGCAAACAGGGAATCACCCCATCACTGTGCACTGCAGGTGAGTCCCCTCTGGGCTTCAGTAACTTTTGGGGTTTGGACTTGAACTTGGGCTTGGTAAACTCTGGGATTGTGCTCAAATGGTCTGTGCAGGGCAAAATGCTGCTGGATCTTACAAACCGTCAGGAGAATAAAATATATCCCTAATCTAAGCTCAAGTTCCTGTCCTTGAGAGCAGAGAGAAAACAATATTTTAATAATAACTAATGATAATAATAATTAATGCTGGTTGGAAGCTTGATTATTACTTGGGACGTCATAACTCAAATATGTGTTTGTCTTATGTCAGATTTTCCCTTTTTGTTTTTTTTTTGTTTGGTTTTCTTTTTAATTGTATATTTTTAATGCACCTTTTTTTGCCTTTCTTTTTGAAAGTTATAACTTGCGCTTTTCGTCTGTTTTTCTTTTTTTTTTTTTTTTTTTTTTTTTTTTTTTTTTTTTTTTTTTTTTTTTTTTTTTTTTTTTTTTTTTTTTTTTTTTTTTTTTTTTTTTTTTTTTTTTTTTTTTTTTTTTTTTTTTTTTTTTTTTTTTTTTTTTTTTTTTTTTTTTTTTTTTTTTTTTTTTTCAAATGATATTTTTCAGAGCGTGGGGTTTTTATCAGTCTTTATATTTGTCTTTGCTCTTCCTGTAGTAGATCTGCTGATTTAGAAACAAAAAATAGCAGTAAAACTGGTATTCTGCCTTTTCCTCATTTAGAAATCATATTTTGCTTTTAATTCCTTTTTTTTTTTGTTTAATTTTATAAATCAATAAAGCTTTTTCTGTTTTCTGGTCCAGACAAAGTCAAGTTGACAGTACACAGAGATAGGCTCAGTAGGGTTTCAGAGTCCTAAAGATCATGACACACAAAAAAATCTTGTTTTGTCTCTGATTACCCCAAAAATGGATTATTTAATTTATTCTAAATTCTGACCTTTTAAATCTTTTCCTCTTGGGCATGTTTTACAAGATAAACTGACTTTCCTGGACCATTGATCATCTTCCAGCAATACATGGACGTCAATATAATTCATGAATAATTTTATATTTAAAAACACTTGTTATATTAATTCCATGCTATTTCTTCCACCTGTCTGTGATCCCACTGAGAAATGCCTGGCAGCATTAACTGCCTTTTATTTTGCTCTGATTTGAGTTTCCAAGGTGCTCTCTCAGTCTCTGGTTTAAGTTTGACTGTCTGAAGTCACCTGTATTTTCAAATATAGCAAAGAAGTCCTGGGAGCTTGAGCCACAACTTGGATTTATTGTTTTTTTGGGGGATATGATCTTATAAAAACACATATTAATTGCCAAAACTTCCTCCTCCTTGCCTTGGAAGTGTTTTGCTCCCTTGGGATCTGAGGGTTCCCCCACTCTGGGGTAAAGATATTTTGGGTTTGATTCTGCAGTTTGACAAAGTTTAACGCTTGTTTTGAAAAATTGGATTATAATTACAGTGGGTAAAACATCAAGGAGTTCTTACCAGTACTTTAAGAGATTAAAAACTAATGTCTTTGACTTGCACAAATTAGTTTTGTGAGAATTAGCTGTGCTGTTTATGGCTTCTACTTTTACAAGCTTTTAGATCTGAGTTTAATAATTAGCATGCATTTTTCCTGATTTTTTTAAAAATCTACTTTTAAAATGGATTAAAAAGAAAACAAAACCCAATCTGCACAATATATTCAGGATTTTTAATGTTGAAAATTGTCTCTTGAACAGCCTGTACCTCCCAGCTTTTGAGTTACCTGAATTCCTCTGTGAAGTCGCACTTGAGTCTTCAAATATAAATGAATGTAACGTTATGAATAATTGAACACATTTCAAGTCTCAGTCTGATTTTTTCAGAGTGGTCACATGAACTTGTGAAAATTCTGTTCGTTTTTCCAGCTATTTAAGAACAGTTTAAGGAGCTGCCAAAAAATGATCATTTTTAAATAGAATCAAGGCATAACCCTAAATAGTTTAGAAGGGGTTTGCTGAGTTGCCAGCAGAGTTTAAAGTCAGTCTGGTCTCAGTCCTTGCTCCCTTCTCCTCCAGTGTTTGTCTGCAGCTGCCTCTAATGAACTATAAAAGGTTTCTGTGTTATTTAGAGGCCACTTAATTCTGGGTTTTGCCCAGTCTTTGCCCATTGAGTGTCCTTTGCCTTTTAACTTTCTGTCTCAGGAAATGAAATTTCACTCAGATTAAAACTTATCTTTCATAACTTCTTTTATTTTAAAGGGAGTTGTAGGAAGAGAAGTGAGCATGCAAAGAGTAGTGCTGTGTCTCCAAGAGACAACGAGTATTTTTCTCCTGCATTTCAAATGCCTCCATAGTAAAAAATTCTTCAATTAATTAAAATACCTAAATTTGTATGGGCTGTAAGGATTTGCTAAAAGCCTGTTTTCAGAGCAAAGAAGGAAAGTGAGCACAAGGAGATGCATCTCTTTTACACAGGCAGATGCAGGCAGGACAAGGGGGGAGTGGTTTTAAACTAATAATGGAGATATTTAGATGAGATATTAGGAAGAAATTCTTCCCTCTGAGGGTGGTGAGGGGCTGGAATAGAATTCCCAGAGAAGCTGTGGCTGCCCCATCCCTGGAAGTGTCCAAGGCCGGGTTGGATGGGGCTTGGAGCAACCTGGGCTGGTGGAGGGTGTCCCTGCCCATGGCAGGGGGTGGAATGAGATGATCTTTAAGCTTCCTTCCAACCCAAACTGTTTCATGAGTCATGAAAATCATTACAGTTGGATAGGACATTTTCCATCAAATAGCTTTGGACTAATGATAACAAATATCAATAATAATAATTCTTGTCCATACAGGTGTATTTGGCTATTCTATATCCCTGTTATTACACTCTTACCATTTTTACCCCAGTTTATGCCATGCAAACCTGTTTTCCTTGCAGTGCTGGTGCAGGGAGAACGGGGACCTTCATAGCACTGAGCAACATCCTGGAAAGAGTGAAGGCTGAAGGGCTCCTGGATGTGTTTCAAGCTGTGAAGAGCTTAAGACTGCAAAGGCCACACATGGTGCAAACACTGGTAGGATGTTTAACAACCCAGATAGCTGTTTGTAAATATTCTTTGGGGGGGGGGGAGAACAAAGGGGGTTTTCTTGCAGGTCACTGTAAATTATGCATGATGGCTGTGTGTGTACAAGGTATTATCAGAAATCTGGGCTTTTACAGGGGGTTTTTTATAGCATTTCTGAAAATACAACTTGGCTAAATGTTCTGTGTCTTCTAGGAACTTCAGGCAGTTAAAGCAAAATCTTTAGTGTTGCAGATGATAAAATATATAATGAAATAAATGTCTTTTAAGCTATTTATCAGTTGTTCTTTCTTACCTTAATGTATCTGGTCATAAATTGGCTCAAAGTTGGTCAGTGGAAGGCAGAAACATGGAATTATGGAATGGTTTGGGTTGGAAGGGACCTTTGGAATTACCCAGTTTCACTCACTTGCTTTAGGCAGGGACACCTTCCACTAGACCAGGTTGCTCCAAGCCCTGTCCAACCTGGCCTTGAACACTCCAGGATGGGGAGTCCCTGGAAATGTCTCTGACTTGTTTAAAATCTTTTTAAAGTCTTCTGTGAAGTCATCTACAAGTAATATGTGAAGCCTAGTTCAGATACTTTTTCCTGCTGAATAAACATTAAAAAGTTTTTTTGAGATTTTTAGTTTTTAAATATTTAAAAATACTGATATTTAGTATTTTCATGGCAGCTTTCATTCAGCACTTTGAAACTTCTTTAGACACAATTATCTCAAACCCCCGTTTCCAGGTGGATGTTTTCTCTGTCCTACAGATGGGAAGAAAGGGGAATTTGATTATCCACAGTCATGCCGAGACGGGGATGAAATGGTTTTTTTGGGGTCTGGCTCTGGGATTTAATAATGTCAGTTGAGGGTGTAATCGCCACAGATATTCCCAGCTGAGCCTGGGAGGGCTCCTGCTGAACTCAGCTTTCCAGCACGAGGGAATTCAGATGCCAGTTCTGTTTGTTATCAGTATTGTTACAGAGTTTGTAATCCAGCAAATCATGTTGAAGGCATATCAGCGTGCCTGGAAAATGAGGATGTGTCCTTCTTTAGGATGGAGAGGACCAGCCAGCTGGATAACAGACAGGCTGGGAGAGCTGAGAGTGTTCACCTGGAGAAGAAAAGGCTCCAGGGAGATCTTAGAGCCCCTTCCAGGGCCTAAAGGGGCTCCACAAGAGCAGGACAGGGACTTTGGGCATGAGCTTGGAGGGACAGGCCAAGGGGGAATGGCTTCCCACTGCCAGAGGGCAGGGTTAGATGGGATATTGGGAAGGAATCCTTCCCTGTGAGGGTGGGCAGGCCCTGGCACAGGTTGCCCAGAGAAGCTGTGGCTGTCCCTGGATCCCTGGAAGTGTCCAAGGCCAGGTTGGATGGGGTTTGGAGCAACCTGGGCTAGTGGAAGGTGTCCCTGTCCGTGGCACAGGGTGGAACTGGATGAACTTTAAGGTCCCTTCCAAACCATTCCAAGATTCTGATTCCATGATTCTCCCTGGGGAATGCTCAAGAGGAGTTTCCTGCTGTAACAGGAGACCAGTGATAGCAGGGACCACGAGCTGCTGGATTTGAATGAGAACCAGGTTTAAGAATGGATTCAGGTTAAGGACCATCACTAAGAAAGCTTAAAGAATTAATTTTAACTGAAGAGCATCATCCTGTATTTGATAAAAAAAAAAAGATAACATTTTTTTAAATTTAAAATAATAAATACATAGATAGAAATCACAACAGACCAGTCCTCAGCTACTGGTCCCAGCTAGAATATGTTACATTTATGACTGGGATTTGCAGAAGTCTGAATGTAATTAGACAACACGATCCAAACAAATTTTGATGTGTTTTTCTTGTTTTTCAGGAACAGTATGAATTCTGCTACAGAGTGGTACAAGATTTCATCGACATCTTTTCTGATTATGCTAATTTTAAATGAGAATTCTGCCTTATTTTTTAATTTGTCTGTACAAAGAGTTGTATATTCTGTTAATTTATTCCATGTCATTTTGGTT